GGGGGGGGTGTTAAAAAGTAGCCTTTTGTTTTAGAAAGAATATTGTTCTGTGTTGCAAAGACAGTTACACAATCAGCTTTTTTTTTTAAAGGCTTTTTAGAAAACAGCTGTTAATTTGTTTTCCAAAAAGTAATCCACGCCCTTCTGATCAGTCTTTTTTCCCTTGTACATCGCATTATTTCACGTATCACTTGACAATGGATACAGTTGGTTTGTTTCTCGTGGTTAGCAGACCCACACCATATGCCGCCCCTATTATTGTTGTGGCAAGCAATTATGAAAGGTGATTAAACAAATACAACTGGTGTGATTAATGACAGCTCCGGCTTTTAAATCTGGGGAGCACGTTGCAGGACGCCCTTTGTGTTGCATTACTCACTATGTGACTTAGTCTCTCCATACCGTTGTCACAAAGGCGTTTCTGGAATGAAGAGGGTCGGTGTGGAGGAGGGGGGGGGGTGAAAGGGGAGGGGGATGCTTAGGGTATGACCGTAACAAGTGCATGTGGCACCCGCACCGCATGCTGCCCGGTTCTTTTGCCTGAATCTAGGCCTTGTAATAACCCAAATTATTCGGATGATTTGCGGTGATTGTGCGCTCGGCATTCATACAGGGGGGCTGTTTTTGGCGATCCGAGACCATTGGGTGGAGCATTTATGGCGTAGTCTTTAAATGCCAAACAAATTAGGGAGAAAGCTGCTGCATTCCTGCCCTGGTAGTCTTCAGTTTTAGACGAGCCAGCGAGAGTAGTGGTCGTCCTTTTGTTGATTAGATATTCGGTTATGTGGGTGAGTTTGGGATTAGAGCTGCGTTTCAAAATTCAAGTTATAGATCTATGTGATATGTTTGTGGATTCAAATTTTTTTTTACTCTTTGTTTTACACTTACTTTGTTCTCGTTTGCGATTTCACGTGCTGCTTTAAACTTTCGTGGTTTTTTTTTTATCCCTCTGTATTTCGTGTAATTGTACTCACTCTGTAGTTCCATCGGAATAAAATGTTGTTATTTATGCCGTCTGTTCGATAAATTGTGGCGAGACTCCGCATTAAAAAAAGAAAAGAAACGCAAATAATTAATTGTGTAACGTATGAACACAAATGAGCGCCAGTATTTGAAGACATCCACTGGCCATAAACAATTAATAATTGATCAATGTTGGCTGCGATGGTCCCGTGTTACAACAATTGAAGCTATTTTCGGGCACGTTCTTTCTTTTGAGTTGAGAGTTGCCTTTCGACTCATCTGTAATTCTTGAAAAAAGGTCGTGTATGCCTTTTATGTTTTTGCTTGAAGTGGACAATACTGATGTTTTAAAAGCTCCAAACATGTTTTCTTACTCTTTTGTCCACGCCCGTGTTGTTTTGCTGGTTTTAGTGTATGGTTGGCGGGTGCTCTGGTGTGGTTTGCTCTTTCTTTCCTATCAAACATTTGTCGTCCTTATTTCCCCTACTTCTTTTTTATGTTTGTTATTCTCTTGTAACACCTCTAATCTTCTGGCGCTCATATGACCTCATGCAGTTGCGAGTGCCGTAAAATCTCTACTAAATAAAAAAACTTTTACTAAAACTAAACTGTTATAAAAAATTGCTGTTTTTACTGATGAGTGCTGCTGGTCAAAGGTCTTTTCCTCCTATTTTTGTGTGTGTATCTGTCTTTCTTGTTTATTGTGTTGATGTGATTCGTTTTACTCAAACTCTGACTACAGTCGAGTAGAAATGTACTGTCCCTCTTAGAACGTAGACGTGTCCTACACAGACAAATATGTTTGTTGTTTGCCACTAGTTTATTCAAAGTGTAAAATTTCAGCTTGTGTTTTTCTGTTATTATGTCACACTGAGATGTGAGTGTGGGTGATTGGTGGGTGCACTGGTGTTGTTTGCTCTAGCGTAGCATCTATGGTCTTTATCTCTCCTTTTTCCTTTGTGTTGTCGTCCGGAGGGGATATCTATTTTTTTTAGGGTTTAAAACCCCTATAAAACTACATTATAATGTTTTTTCTTTTTTGTCTGTCTCCAGCACATGGTCCAGAACCAGATGACTCCTACATACGCCACGTACCCCCAGGCGACCAGTCTGGATGAGTACCACCAGGCGGTGGCCAACCAGGCAGCGGCTGCGGGCTCCGCGGCGGCCGCCGGACTGGCCGGCATTCAGAATGTGGCCGGGGTCAACGTCGCCGTTTCCGCCATCACGACGGAGCCGAGCGCGCAGACCATCTACACCACCACACCCGTCACGACCAACGGTGCTGCAGAACAGCAAACCGCGGTATGTATGTCACTCACGACTGTGCCCACAGACTCCACACACCCACACACACTTACACATATATACACACGCACCAGCTTGTTTTTTGCAGGGTTTATTTCTTCTTCTTCTTTTTTTTTTTTTTTTTTGCTTGCCTGACTGTTGTTTTATGTTATTAAATTTTATTTGTTGAGAATGTTTATACTCGTATTTTTAGTCATCTCTCTCATTTTGTTTTTGGGATTTTTTTTCGCCTTTCCTCTCTCTCTCTCTCTCTCTCTCTCTCTCTCTCTCTCTCTCTCTCTCTCTCTATTTACAATATTCAAATCCCTCTCAATCTTCCTGTATGTATCTGTGTGTGTGTGTGTGTGTGTGTCTGTGTGTGTGTGTGTGTGTCTGTGTGTGTGTGTGCGTGTTTGCGTGTTTGCGTTGTGTGTGAGTAAGTGAGGGTGCACACACATGCCTCTCCTCATGCGAACGTGTGCTTGAATGTATGGGCTAGGATGTAGGCCAGGCATGCATTGTTCATTATAAAACTAGATCTAGATCATTTTGGGTTTCAGAGACTGGATTGGGCGATCGTTCCCATTTGCAGTTAAAGTACATGGTCATTAAATACTCTCACACCCCGCCGTTGTTAATTGTGTTTACATAAGCTCTAATGAAAAGAAGGAATGGGCAATATAATTGAATTAATTTCACTCAGTTTATCAGTTTACCGAGATATTATATTCAATAAAGGATAATGTCTGATTTGTGGGAACACTGAAGAGGGGCAACAGTGCAAGCTTGGCCATATAGAGCTAACAGAACACGTTCTTACTGTTTACCCATGACTCTCTTACTTTTGTCTCTGTACTTGATGCATTATGCTGGTACAGGGATTTGTGTTCCTGGACGTGTGTCACACGTATGGTTTGATCAATTGCTTGTTTCCTTCCCGGTGTCTTTGCGTTTCTGCCACCAAAATCATTCGTTTGGATATTTGCTTTCCAGATGTGCACATTTTAGCTGTAAAAATACTGCATTTTGTGTGCTTTTGTTACGTCTGGGTTTTTTACCTTGTAGTTTTCTTTTACCTGGACTTATTGGGTTTTATTTTTCTTATCTGTTAGCTAGTTTTTTATGTCTTGGACTTCTGTACTTATTTCGGCTGTACACATAATACAGAAAGACTAATTGAAATTTACAGTATGCCTTGTCATTTTTTGCACCCCTTCTCTTGATTTATTAACGTTTTTGTGTGCAATTTGTGGCTGGTGGAAGACCTTCTTGCATTAGGCAACAAGAAAGAGAACTGATGGTGTAGTTTTATAGCGTAGGGCCTACAGGGAGTAACTGTAACATTATAAAGAGAGAATTAGTACGTGGGCCTGTGGAAATGTCACGAACAATTAGTCAGATGTCATGTAAGCAGGGATGTCGGACTGCTGTTCTCAGCTCAAAGCATGTTGTCAGTAACTTCGCTACCACAATCTTGTTTGGTTTATTACTTTAAAGATTCTTAATAATCTTACCTGGTACTCTTTCAGATCTACTAGCTTGGTCATTAGGCTTTCTTGTTGTGAACGTTATTGACTGTTTCCTGCATGGTCGAAGTGGGCATCCGGCCTAATGGTTTATGGACTATAGAGTAGAAACATTATTTTTTGTGCTTATTTTGTTGTTTGGTTTTTAGAAGAGAAAAACATATCTCTGAATTCACAGCGGCGCATACTTATTTTTACATGCGATGTACCATTGTGCGCTGAAGAAAGTTTAACAAATAAATAACGCAAGTTTGTCATGTCGTTTTGCGGCATACACCCGTAAGTTGTACACTGCAATCATAATTTAATTTACAGAAACGCCACATGATGTGGGATAGCAATGCGTCGTTTTAATGCAAATTGCAGAGGACGTTTAAAGTGGGATAATAATATATGGGAGTAGGATGCAGGATGGTTTACACAGCGAGGAAAGATGGGATGTCTTGTTTATGAGGTAATGGTTGGAAGATTTGGGGGGG